GAACAAGTGGAGTATATCAATGTGTATACTGAGATATATAGGCTGAACTTGATCAGAATGATGCTTTGTATGGAATGATATTGAAATGCATATCAACAAAGAGTAACTAAAAGTTCAGGTAAATTATGCGAGAGAGATGTGGATGAATGCGAAAGAGGAGGGAATGTGTGTTTGAATGGTGGTACTTGCGTGAATCGTAAAGGAGGATATCACTGCATTTGTGTAAATGGCTGGGAAGGGGATGACTGCTCGATTAATAAAGACGATTGCGTTGATGCACTTTGTGAGGCTGGCAGCACTTGCATCGATCATGTCGCTAAATATACCTGCGAATGCCCACCAGGGAGAATTGGTCAGTTTGTGGTTTCATTATTTTTGAAATTATCAGTAACACTTTAAAGAATGAACAGCGAGAAATTTTGTGGTTCATTTGAAAGTCGTTGAACAGTATTTCCGTAAACTGGAAAGTCTTTCATTGCGTATTAAAATTTCGGCAGCATCATCTCACTTCAATTGAATTATTCTGAATTTCAATTGAATTTGATCCAAGGAATATGTTTTTTCTGTTTTTTACGAATGGGATTGCGGCTCGTTAATTAATTTATGCACCAACAAAAGTTTGGTGAACATTTAAGGCTTACTTTGTCATATGGAGGATCCATGTCTGTCAAACCCTTGCAAAGCAGGTTCACAATGCGAAGCAGACACGTCAAGTGGCAAGTATACGTGCAGTTGTCCGAAAGGATTTACTGGCGACGATTGTTCTGAGGATGTCAACGAATGTGAACAGGTTCCTTTTCAGTCATATGTCGACNATTTACTGGCGACGATTGTTCTGAGGATGTCAACGAATGTGAACAGGTTCCTTTTCAGTCATATGTCGACTTTGTTCAATGCAGTTTTTTTTTGACATTCGAAAATTATTCTCAAACAACCATTTACTTCTGTCCTAATAATAATGCACTGATTTTCGACAAAAATGACTTGCACTGCTTCATCGTTCCCTGATATTGAAACTCAATAATATCTAAGCTTAACCAACAATATTCATGTTCAGAGTGCAAATGTTTGCTGGAATGGCGGCACATGTGTGAATACACCAGGCTCGTGGCATTGCGAATGCCCACCGGGATTTACTGATCCATGGTGTATGAGCCATGTCAACCAGTGCTCTCCAAATCCGTGTCTCAATCAGGGTACATGTCTCGATTTTGGAACTGCCTTCAAATGTGTTTGCATGTCAGGTATGTGAATATCTATCTGTATTGTTTAGTTATGAAAATGACTGCAATAGGAAATGGAAAGCTTATTATTCGCCAATATGGATGCGAATATCATTCATTTAATCAGTTTATTTTACTGGATTCATCCCAGTTGCAATGGAAAATTTTGTAGGATTTCATGGTAAGTATTGCGAGAAGAAATGTGAGGTGGGATTCGAAGGCGAGAACTGCGAACGAAGACAACAAATGGAGTGCAGTGCGAGTGATTGTCTGAATGGTGGAGTGTGCTCGAAGGGGTCGTGCCGATGCCCGAAAGGCTTCAGTGGTGATCACTGTGAACGACACGCAGATCCGTGCCAGTATCATTCGTGCGCATCGAACGCCGACTGCGTTCCATCGTCGAATGGAATTGATTATCGCTGTGAATGCAAACTCGGATATTATGGACATGACTGTCGTTTAGAGGTTACATTCATTCTACTTCATTGAATGCACTTCCAAAAAAA